TCCAGCCAAATCCCCCAAACTGTGGTCCCAACACCATCACGCATTCCCTCGATAGGGATGAAAGGGTGATTTGAAACAAGGACCGAAGAGTAAAAAATGTAACAAAGAAAATTCCTTAGCCAAAGGAGGAGGGGGCTGAGATCGGATAACAGGAGGGGATTGTCAGGTATACAAGACAGCAGGAAACTTGCTCAATGAATGACCTCATGACTATTAACAAACACACCCCGCATAGGAAATAAGCTCATTATAATTCACCTGGGAGGGACCAAGTGGGAGGGAAGAAGCAGCCGGAAGGGGAGGGGAGGCATAAAAATAGGATGTAAACATGTGTTTGGGGAGCTTGCAGGGGAAGAAAACTCTCAGCCCCCTTTATTGCAATAAAGTTTCAAGAAGAACTCTCCGCTGGCCCCGACTATTTTTCTCTTCCGAGGGAAAGGAAAGAGTGTTTCTAACAGCCCCTCAGCAAGGATTCCAAGGATCCATCACTGGGATGCCCCATGCGCTCCGCTCTGGATCATCATGCCAAGCAATGCACCTGAAAAGGAGGCGCCTGCCCACCTGCCCAGCCCAACGGCTTGGGATCTCCTGCTGCGGGTTTAACACACACTGCCAGCAAGAACAAATCCCACCCCCACATCCATACTGGCACACACAACCAGGATAGATATAAAGCAATGATTAAACAAATAATAAAATAAAATCCGATTTTTAAATTTAAATTGAATGTTTTTACATTTAAATTGCATTTTTAAAATGAAATGTTTTTTGAGGAAAAATCTATCCAAAGATAGTTTTCTATTTTACTTTATAGTCCAAAGGTCACTCATCATGAAATAAGGATTAGTTTTTATTTATGTAGCATGAGGACGTATATTCATGCAACATTTAAATTTTTTGGTAAATGAGTTCGATTAATCCATTCAAAATGTCACGCTCTTCCAGAGGTCCCTGTAAGATTTTTGAGCATTTTTCTATCTAGAAGGTATTATCACAGATGCTTGGTTTTACAGTTCTCAAAACTGTGAATTTGTATCTGCAGAGATCACATGCCTCTTCTTCACAGCAAAAAATGTTATAAAATAAGCATACAGAGTTGAGCAAAAGACCCTAATCCCATTGTTCCTTTGCAAATCTATGTATACAGACAGAATCAGTTTCAAAAAATTCAAGGAACAGAAGCAGATCATTGGGAGTAGAATAGATTTTCACAAGATGCGAAGTGTAAGAAGGGCAGGGGAAACACTAAAACTGAAGAGAAACTACTGAACAAAATACTCCAACTTTTTGTGTATAGCCTGAGGTTTATCGTTATTCTTTCCCTGGAGGAGAAAACCTATAATGGAAGCAGGCCATTAAAAGAGACCCAGTCTAGGAATATTTTAATGAAGTTCCTTTACCTCTGGGTAAGACAGGCATGTTTGCAAATTATGGAGAAAATCATGATTTAAATCTAGTCTTATTGACCAGTGATTTAGATCAATATTTTAATTGCAATTTAAATCAATTTACATCAAATGCAGCCTGCACACTGGAAAGGAAAGGAACAGAACGGAACCAGCCCCAGCCTGATTTTGTCCAGGCAGCAAACATTCCTATGGCCCTTCATCTTACTCTGCTTTCTAGAGACACACAGCTTCATGTCCAACAGAGAAAGAAGCTAACAAGCAAAGGGAAAAATAGGGGATGTAGTCCATTACCTGCCTTGCAAGCTAAACATTCAACAGCAGTCCCCTGTGTAGGCAGGAAGGTGCAAGGCCTGTGTTCAGAAAGAGCCTCTCTTAAGTTTTTATAGCTTGCTCTGTCCTGCCCCCACCGGAGGACTTTCTAGTCACCGACCTGGTCTCAATGAAGGGCTCACCACAATCGTCTTCCCATTTGGGTTTGCATTTTCCCCTTTGAACTCCAGCCTGTCACTGCTCAGGCTGTCTACTGAACACACAGATCTTGCATCTCTGAATACTGAGCAGAAGAGAAGGAAAAAAACCCTTTCCTAATCTTTCTGTGCAGCCATCCAGACTTTCACCTGCTGTTTCCTCATGCAATTTTTTCCCAGGGATTTACCAACCAATTTCCCCAATACTGTGAGAAAGTCTTTCCTCTGTATCTTCCTTGGCTCTTTGAACTTTTTCATGGCAATCTCTGAGATTCCCAGCATAAGAATTCTTGGTGCCCCCCTTCTTTTTTTTTGCTTTTACTCCAGCAACAAGAAGCCAACCAGCAACCATCTTCCCATTGTCTTCCCTTCTGCCTCTGCAAATGCAATGGTTTGTCCCAGTCAAGAGATTCTTGCCAAGGGAAGTTAGGTGGATTGGGGGTGGCTTAAATACCTGCAGAGTTTTGAACCAATGCTAGTAAAGGTATGAAACACCTGTGCTCTTGTTTCTGGCAAAGAAATGGGCCTAGATTGTGCTTCACCCACGTCACTACTCTCTCAGGGCTTTTACCCAGGATAAGCTTCTTGTGGTTATCCAGACGAGGTAGGGCCTGTATTACAAAGCCCACAAAGGCGCAGGCATTTCCTTGCCTCCCAGTTCTGGCTCATTTTCACCACAGTGGGTGAGATGAGGGAGGGGAAGCTTCCATGCACGGCCTGATCACAGCCTTCCTCCAGCCTGACTCAGCCTTGCTTGGGCCTGGGCAGTGACCTTATGGCTCTTCCTCAGTCATGTCAGGGTTTCACACACTTTCCTCTCAGGGGCAGGAACACTGCCATACCCTTGCATTCACTCCGGCTTGGTCCTGAACTTAGCAAGACAGATGGTACAGCTGCATGGGGGCTCCGTAAGTACCTCCACCCACTTATCCTGAGCTTCTTAAACCACCCCGAAGGGAAACACCGTGTCAGAAAGACTTACACAAGCACAACACAAGCAAGGCATGCCCATGAGCGGAACTTGCTGGAGCCGGGGGTCAGACTAGGTGGCCCAGGAGACCCCTTCTGACTTGCTCTGTTTCTATGTTTCTCTTACTCTGTTTCTATGTTTCTAAGACCTGCACAAACATATTACTTTCATAAAAACAGTGCTCATGTGTGTTGGTCTTTAGATAACCCCCATGTGTTGTTCTTGCGGGGCTCATGGTGCATCAATACCAAATCCTACATGCCAGATATATATGCAGATGACACTTTATAAGGAATAAAAGGATTGCATTGAGAAATGAGTGACCATGACAAACATGGCCTCTAGTGTTGGTCAGCTTCACTACCTGAAGTCTGCCCCACTCCCCAAGCCAAGGTGCACAGTACTCAAGTCACATTATTTGGGGACTAAGATAGAAGTGTATATAAATTCCTCTCTGTATACTCAGCATACTATATACATATTCCATATACAGTGCAATAATAATAAATGTAAAATCTAATGGTTTTCTGCCTGATGGTCCCACATGCAGAAACTAACTATGTGGTCTTCATTTCCAACAATCTAAGCAAGTTTCTGTTACTAGTGGTTGGATCAGGGAACATGGGAAAGATTCACGAGGGAGGAGGCTGTCAGTGGTTACTAGCCTTGCTGGCTGCTTGCTGCCTCCTCTCCCAGAGGTTACATGCCTGCAGGCACCCGTTGGTGGGGAGCTGGGGCAGGAGGAGGCCTCACGCCCATCCTGCTGGAGGGATCCTTGGGCAGCTGGTTAGACACTAAGTGTATGGCGGGCTGGAGTAGATGGACTTTGAGTCTGATCCAGCATAGCTTGTCTTATGTTTGTAAACACACCTCCAGTTTTTGCTAGAGGGAAACTTGACTGAGTTTCCAAGCAGTACTAAGCAGACAACAAAGATTTCAAATGCAATTCTCCTACCCTCCCCCCCCCTCCAAATACATACCCCTTCCTCTACAACATTTTCCACGTCTCAAGTTTACTCTTTCGAGGCCACAATAAAATAACTGCTAAATATTTTCCAAATTCTGCATTTCAACACAAATCAAAGTTAACAAATCAGAAGACTGCATGCAAATTAAATAAAACTTGGCTTGTGATATATCACAACAGCAGAAATGGGTTTTTCTTGTTTTAATACAGCCTTCCAACCTTCTTGTGCAGAAGCCCACCTCAAAGGTCAAACACATACATCAAACACCAAATGGAAGATAAATGTGTCCTGAATTTCCTACCGTATGCCCCAGGCAATAAAACATTGAAGCCACCCGGAATAAACTGATGATAGACTTATTCCTAATGATTTATTTCACAAAGCACCCATTACCTCCTCTAGGGTAATTTGGTAAACAACCCCTCCAATCCAGGTCCCACATTTATCGTTGCAATTGTTATCGAAGCTTTTTATTTTTCAGGGGAGTGTCTCTGCAATTTGCAAGCAGTTTCATTGATTCTAGCAAGTAACCGTCACCTGAAAATAAGGATTCATGTAGCAGCCTCACACTAACTTCACTAGACTCTGATGATCCATGTACATAACTTCATTGCAGCCATATGTAAACTACTCGAACGGCTGCTTCTCCACTGCAAGGCATCTTCAGGAAGAGAGGCAGTGGGACTGGGCTCTTAAAGCCTTCTTCTACCCACTATCCCATGAGGCTCTGTAGCCATGTTTTCAGTGTAAACTTACATTTCACTGACGTGATACCTCTGTGTCTCAGTTGTACCACTTCAGACTGCAAGTAGAGACACACATGACTGCTTCTCCACCCTCACTGCACAAATGGCTTTCCATATTAAAAAAAACTAAATGTCAGAGTGAAGGATTCTCATGTAGTCTTCTCTCTGATGTGCAAGGGTTTTTCTGGGAAAAGATGTGCTGCTGCTTTTTCTTGAAGGGGGTACTCCACCTTGCAAGTGCCCAGCCTCAGACTGAAGTGATTCTACTGACAGTCAGGTTTTACAGTAAGAACCAGGCCAGAATGGAAAGAATTCCCCTTCCCCAGGGAAACACTAAAAGGGAAGCAGACCATGCAGTTTGCGTGCCTGTCTATACTTCAAAAGCACTGAGATAAGCTTTCTGATGTCAAGAAAGTTGTTGTCCAGGGGATGAGACCTACCTGCCAGACAGCAAAAATGACAGACGATCAATCGATGTCTTGCCTTCCACAGCATAGTTCTGGTCTCTGACCAGTGGCAGGACCTGTTCCTCACAACACTTGACAATTTCTTTGTAGATCTGGGGTGGCACTTGCAGAGGCTGGCAAACTTGCTTGTAGAGTTGGTCAAATTCTTCGGAAAATGCGTCTTTACGAAGCTGGTAAACTAAGTGAGCTAACTGAAGCAAACAGATCAGAACCAAGAGAATGTTCCAGAGGAAGATGTCTAGTCCACAAGCATCCAACCAGCCCCAGAGAGCAGAGCACAGGAAACCAACGGCCAAGAAGCCAAAGATGTAGATAGCCCCAAAGGTTCCACTTCCTCCCATATAGCCCAGGAGGAGGAAGAAACTAGCAAGGTGATAAACTGCTCCTTCCATATACTGCTTCCAAACCTCACACAGAACAGGCTGGAAAACGATCCGATCCAAAAGGGTGCTGTCTGCACTCATTTTCCCTATCACCAGAAAGGTTTGCCTTGAAAATTGTACTGGAATCCACACAGAGCAAATTGCTGATACTTCAGCTGACAACAGCTTTGCTTCAGCTGAAATGTTAGAGGAACATATTTTAAATTATTAACGCATTTGAAAAGCACCCCCAACAATCCCTTCCAACGAAGTGTAGTAGCAATTATTCTTGTCTCTGATTCTACCAATAAGCTGGATCCACTTGTAGAAGCATCCAAAATTCAGTCCTGAACAGCAATATACTTTTTGGCTTGAGAACCCTTTGGAGAAACAAGAGCTGCAGAGTGCAGCTTGCACCCTTCCCAGCAGAGAGAGAGGTGAAAATAGACACAGTGAAAGAGCAGCAGGCAGGGCAAAAGGGGCGGGGAATAGAGAAGCAGAGGGTACTTATGTTTAATTTGGAATGTATAGCACAGGGCCATGGAAAGAAGAGAGACCCTAAATAGATAACCATGTTTGGAATTGAAATCCAAGAAGCAAAGGCTGTAAGAGGAAGAGAGGCCAGGCAGGCATTCTCCACTTAACGTAACTCGGGAGAACTAGATTACACACAGCATTGTTTGTATGTGTGTGTACTTTGGATTTACAGTCTGTTCCCAAAGGTTGTTTGGGAACAAAGGGGTATGTCTCATGTCACAAGGCAGGAAGACTGCCTCCATCATGGAATACAACCAAAAGCAAGAAGATAAGGCTCTAACTAAGGGTTTGTTGTTTTTTGTTGAGGTTTTTTTTTTTTGGCAATAGAGTATTCCAAAGAAAATGCTGACAGCTGGGATATTTAAAATTAGACAGAAGCTCTGGATTAAAGACTGGTCATGCAGGCTGTAATATCTGCTGCTCCAAACTATAAATGATGCAGACTTAAGATTGGAGAGGACAATTCGGTCATTTTATTTAGACTGCACAACTCTTATGTTATAGCCTGTGTCCCTTATTTCTGTTTAGTATTCCCCAGAATTTACTACTTCCACTCACTACCATTATATAACAAATTTATTTATTTAAAACATTTTTATGCCGCCCCCCATTGCAATGAAGCCTCAGGGCGGCTCACAACAGAAACAAAATACATAAATAATAACAATATAACAATAAAAAATTATTAAAAAAAACCCCTGGTGCATCTCGGCTAAATAAATACAAATAATTTAACAATTAAAATAAGTTTTAAATAAAAAGGTCTTAGCCTGGTGCCGAAAAATAAATAACAACGGCCAGGCGACCACTCTGGGGAGCGCATTCCATAGGTGGGGCGCCACTGCAGAGAAAGCCCTCCTCTGGGTACTCACCCTCCTAATATCATTCACGGAGGGTTCCCGGAGAAAGGCATCTGTTGCTGATCTCAAGGGGCGGGAGGGCATGTATGGACGCAAGCGTTCCTTTAGATATCAAGGTCCCAAGCCATTTAGGGCTTAGTAGGAGTTATCACTTTTAAAATCCTCTATCAATCCTCTTATCAACTCCATTGGCTTCCCATCGAAGTTCGGGCTCAATTCAAGGTGCTGGTTATTACCTATAAAGCCCTAAACAGCTTGGAACCAGGATACCTAAAGGAACACCTTTTTCCCTATTTGCCCTCCTGCCCCCTGAGGTCCTCCTCCGGGCACCCTCTGTGAAAGACGTTAGGAGACAGAGTACCCGGAGGAGGGCCTTCTCTGTGGTGGTGCCTCGACTATGGAATGCACTCCCCAGATAGGTCTGCCTGGCACTGTCATTATATGTTTTTCAGAGCCAGGTAAAGACCTTTTTATTTAATCAATATTTTAGTAAGTTTTAATATTGAATTTTATTATTGTATTTTATAAATTGCAGCCAGAGTGAGTCGTCAATTTATTTATGCTGTTAGCCGTCCAGAGATGTAATTGAAAGTCATACAAATTTTATAAATACATACATACATACATACATACATACATACATACATACATACATACATTATAATGACCACTGCAGCAGGTTTAACAGTGACCTGAAAAAAGAAAGGGATATGGGGTGGTCCGGGAGAAGGATAGGGCCCCTCTTCATCCTTGCCCATCTTCCTTAGCAGTGCTTGCACTTGGACTCCTTTGAGGGTTGAGCTGCTGTCAAGCACCCAGAGACAAGGCCAAGCCTGGAGCCATCATCCACTATAATGGTGTCTCAAGCAGTGTCAGGGGCGCCTGGCTGGAGCAGTCCACATCCTGTCTTGTTCAGGATGTGATTTGCCTTCCTTCATCTGTAGCAGATTTTGCTCCCTCCCCTTTGCTGACCATTGGGCAGTGGCCTCAGTGACCTGGCCTGCATGGACTCAGCCAGTGTGGGTTAACTAGCCCAGTGTTTGCCATCGTGAGCCAGCCACCATTATTAAGATGCAAGCTGTAGTGCATCATGCAAGCCAACCAGGGTAGGTTGCTAGCATGGTAATAATGTTCACGGGTTCATTGATTCTTAAGTGTAGTACAAATTTTGAGAGAGATAATTTAGACATTGCACATCAGGTATTGTCTTTCTCACCAATGTAAAAATGGTGGGGAAAACTGCCCCCGTCAGAATTCTCTCCTGCGGGTCTATCCTGAAGGCAAAGGAGCCCCTTCAGGTTTGGACCTGCCTCAGCTCTTTTTCTCTCTGGCAAAGTTCCTACTATGTGTATTTAAAAGCTTCACACTATGTAGCAATAGTATGTAGTGCCTGCTGCAGATTCTTTTAGCAAATGGCTACAACAGTAGGGAAAGCTGTACCTGTTACATTTTTTAAACAAACAACAAATAGGCTGCCTGAAATAATAGAAAGGACCTAAAAATGCCCAGTACTCAAAAAAAAAAAAAAGTTAACTTTAAAAGTAGACAAGGAAAGGAAGCTTTCAGCAGTCATGAAAGTGCCCTTCTCTCAACAAAAGCAGTTCCTTCCGAGTCCAGACTCAGAGTCTACACTTGTGTGCACAAATTCACAGCAGGAGGAAATGAGTAAAACATGCTAAGAGCCCCTATGAGATTGCAATACATTTTTTCATCTTTTCCATTCATGTGCAAAATCTGGTCTGGTGCTCAAACTTCAAATACATACTTTTAGAATAATTCTCTATTTGAGGTTTAAATGATCTCATTTTGTGTCATTGCTATGTTACAACTGAATGATTGGGAGGGAATGGATGAAACTCCGGCTGTGTATGTGTGTGCGCACGTGCATGCAGTGGGAAGAATTTCTTTTCAAATCTATGAGGCTACTTTTCCCTTTTGAGTTCAACAAAGTTTTGTTTCCTTTTTTCCTTTTGCAATGTTGCCAAACATTAATGATAGTGATATTGTTGTTACTGTTGTTATTGATGGTGCTAAAAAAATTTTTTTCCCCTTACAGTAGCCTAATGTTTGTTGGGGACTTGAGCCCATTTGCCAGCCCCAGGATGTGGGCAGCTAAAATGGCAAGTTCTCAAAACTTCTTTCCATGAACGTAAGCACTCATATGTTCATCTAAATGTTTGTTTGTGTTAACAATGGGTTGGTGCATTTTGTATCTATGTAGGAGAGTATCATCTCTGTAATAAGAAATTGTGTAAAACAGTTCTCATTGTCCAGCAGAAAGCACATTTCTCTTTAGCCTAGGCAAGCAACAGGTTTGTGCAACACCAGTTCAACAAAGGATTTCTTTTGTGTGCATTTTTGCATTGGTTGGATTGATTTCAGCAACCCAAACATTTTCTTCTTGAGACTGTGCTA